GTAGCGATGTGGTATCCTGAACAATTTTAATATTTTTAACGTTTGACAATGTATATGATAGATACATATTTTAGTTATTTTAATGTGTGAACATGGCATGCAATGAACTGGTTTGACGTGGATAAGTAAGCACCTGAAGATGGCATTATTATGCCGAAACATGTAGTGCGAGGGAGAGAAGGAGATAAATGAGTGTATGCACTGCAAGACGGATTAAATAAATCATGGACTTAAATCAGTGCAACAGGACGCTAAAATATAACATACTTAAAATTGTTTACAATAGATTACAGTAGATTACAATAGTTAAGATTTCACATAGTGTGAGGTGGAATCCATGTTAGGTCCCCTCGGCACGTCGGCTTCCATATGTCCTATTGTACCTGTACTGGTGATAATGTTTATGGAGAATTTGATGGAATGAGGATTGGCAGGGGAAACCAAAGTACTTGGGGAAAACCTGCCCCAGCATCATTTTGTCCATCACAAATCCCATTTGAGTAGACCTCAGCGGTGAGAAGCCAGCGACTAACTGCTTAAGCTATGGTGCAGCCTTTGAGATAATACTGGTGAATTTGGTGATAGCATTGGTATGACATTTCACTGTAGACTCTACACTGCAGCATCTCATTACATCTGTTCTCCCTTCTTGGTGCAGCTTCTTGGCATCTGCAGTCTCTCCAGAATAGCCCATTTAGGTATATCTCCAACTGTGTTACCTTGGTTGCTGGAAGAAAGAAAGGAAAACTGTGCAGTAAGGATTCCCAAAACTGATTATTCATGAATTATGTGGTTATAATTGATCAGTGTTTGTCTCACACGAGAGAAACTCATCCACTTTATAAAAACAATGATCGAGTAGGTAAGTTTTCAAAGCGCTTTTGAACTTATATAGTACCTGTATCTCTTTAATATATAGTGGCAGATGATTTAGCAGTCGAAGTCCTACGTTGTTAAAGTTGTTCTTGCATAGACTTGTATTACATGGGACGATGTGCAAGTCATCTTTTTTCCTTGTGTTGTACAAGTGTAATCCTGAGTTGGTTGTGAATTCATTTGAATTGGATTTTATGTATATTAGAGTTTCATATATGTTCAAAGATGGTAGAGGTAATATATGTAATGATTTGAAAATTTGTTTACAACTAGTCGTTTTTGGGACCTGGGTCATAGTTCTTATAGCTCTTTTCTGTAATTTAAAGATCAATTTTGCATTTACCGAGTTGCCCCACAATATCAGTCCATATGATAACAAAGATTGGAAATGAGCATAATATAACGTGCAGACATTCTCTAGTCCAGTTACTCTTCTAACTACCCTTAGGCCAAAACATACTTTACGTAAGTTGTTCGCTAGCTTTTGCGTAGCATAGTCCATCTTAGATGCTTATCTAGCCAGACTCCCAGAAATTTTGAGTGATCTGTGTAGTTGATAACTGTGTCATAAATCTTTATTGGAGGACATTCAAGTTGTAGTTTTTGAGGATGATGCATTGCTGCATTGCTGACGTTCCGGATAACCTTTCTGTCGCCTTCTTCAAGGGGAGGTGATTTGTTTTGATCCATGTTGTCATAATAAAGAAACGACTGGTTGTTAAGTGATTTCTTTTATGGCGTAGACAGTGTCTCAAGCTACTTAGCATTGAACGGTAGAATGACTGGTCAATAATCCATTGGAAAGATCTGGAAAGAAGATGCCTAATCGAGATACAATCCTGGCATTTCCCTGGATGGACTGATGAAAACCACGGAAATTCTCGGTCATGATAGGCTGCACATCAGTCAATATCGGTCATGATCAGTCAAGATTCAAAACGGGCACCTACAAACTACAAGTGTAGAACGTTACCGAGCGTCAGTAGCGCACTCTGTGATAAAGACTTGATCTAATTCGATACAAAGTTCTGTCCGTTGCAACCGTTTGTCATTCCACTCCTACTAAAATCAGAATGAAAAGAATGACGTTCAAAAGTCACATTCTCCTGTCGAAACAAAATTTCATAGCACCCATCTAGCGTTGCTTTTACATTGTAACCTCTATCAATTGAACAATTCGGTTTTGGTGACGTACACTCGGCTTAAACTGCGATCTGAACCACTTGTAACCAGACATTAGTTTTCACAGTTCAGACTGTTCAGACACCTGCTCGTCAACAGTTGTGACGGTTGTGACCGGGTGTGACTTAATAACAATAGTGAGGTTAAGATGTGCAGTGTGACGGTTATCGCGATATTTGCTGTATTTCTAATTAAGTCGGGAGAAGGTTTGAATAAATATTCCGCAGAAGCAAATGCAAATCCAGATGTCACGAAAGAACCTTCCTTAAATTTTAGAAACTTGGAAAAACCATTTCGAATGGCGAAGATAAATGTGCTATGGTCAAAGGCACAACTAGTAAGGGGAAATATAATGATATATATTATTTTAAGTTTGGTGTATATGGAATGGTATTGCTGGCAAGTATTTCTACTCATTTATGGAAAAATCAATATTACCCTTTTAACGAACTGACCACATGGATCTGAGTCCATCTCGAGAAGTCAGCAATTGCTCAGCTACTCCAGAATTTCCCAACATCTCGCGTAGTCCTCAGGTTCATTACCGTGTTCAAAAGAACCCGTCACTGGTCCCTAACCCGAGCCAGATTTCTCCAGACCATCGCATCTTATTTTAAGGTCCGTTTTAATATTGCTCTCCCACCATCAAGATTTCTCCATTACAAAAAAAAAAAAAAAAAATGTAATTCCCATATGCCCTTTGTTACCGGATTCGGGATATTCGTACGGTTATTATATTAACACATACTTTACCAAATATTCTAAGCTTTCATGAAAATAATATTTGATGATACTGTCAAAATTAGTGTATGTGGGAGCAACTGTAATTGAAGTCTGTGACAGCAACTTTGGTGTACTTGAACTATTTATCGTCATTGGAGAACAGATTCGTCAGTAGAAATTTGGAGCCTGTGGCATCTTTATTAACTTTCTGTTATTGGATAAAATGAGAATGATCAGATACTTCCTATTGTGTTAGGCACATTTAATAAATGTAACATTTATGGAGTTAGTTGTGCTGCAGTCATCAGTTTGTTTCATCATCTTACAGACTAATTTGTAAGGTTGGGATCAAATTTGGGATTGTTGTTATATGGTAATTATTAGACTGCCCTTACAATTCTGGGCTCTTTATGGGAAAATGGTGGCTTTTCTTTTAGCAAATTCATCATTTCAACATCAAACTGAGCCATCTTGCCTTGTCCTACAAGTTGCTACAGAAACTGCATTAAATGTAAAGTGATGGAAAGCCTACCCCATTTAGAATAGTCACTAGATTGTTCATACTCAGAAAAATATTTTTTTCTTGCTTGTAGCAAATGTTTGGATCTGTTCACAATTTTACCATTTTATCTGAAATAATTTCTCCTGCAACATGTCTGTCCTTAATGTTGGCGGTATCAAAGCCTATTTCAAACAAAAATTTATAGAAAACAATGGGAGTATGATTTTATATTCTGAACACTTTATTGGACAGTGAGCTGAAGATAATCTGAAAAAAAAAAGTGATCTTAAATTTGTTTAAAATTAAAAGTGGTGTCGGACACTATAATGAAGTGTACCAAACAAAGGGAACTTTAATTATTCTAAATGTAAGACACTTTTTAGGTTCTTCAAAGTTATTGCAGTTTTCCCTCAGAAAATAAAGATATAATTAGGAAGCCATTATTAACCTTCATTTCACCAAGTATGGAATGCTTTCTTGATTTTTAAGAAACATGTTTATAGGTTTGGTGGCATGTTGATTCTGTGAAAAACATGACTTCAAGTTTTGGTATTTAAAATCAAATGTTATAGTGCAGCAGTTAGTATTTGTGTTTTGTATTTGGGAAATCACAGCATAAATTTTGGCTCAGTCTGGCCATCATGACTGTGGTATCATGATTTTTTTTCAGTTCCTCCACACACATTCTTGAAATGGGGCTCATTTATACTTGTCCTGACATTTGATGCTGTAATACCCATGTAGTTGATGAACCATTTTTAAGAAATCCAAAATGAAATAAGTAGCAATATATGTAGTAATACAAATTATGTGGCAATAGAGTCCAGAGGTTAAATATTTCTAATACCAGAGCCTATCATTCAGTCTAGTTCACGTCAGTGTGCATAGGAATTACTATATATGTGTCTGCATACAATTTTGGTAGTAGGCAGCACTTCTAGTGCTGCTTGTCTTTAATATGATAAATTTCTTCCACAGAGGTTAACAGAACCAAAATTGAAATCTTTGTTCAGTGAATTGAAGATTCATGATAAAGAGGAAGTGACATGGAAGAGGCTAAAGGCTGAGGGTTTAGACAAAGATGGACTGAAAGAAGCAGAACTTCGCAAGAAGTTAACTGGTAAGCGCCACAGTTGTGTCTCAGAATTGAAGTTTTCTGAAGTGTCATTCCAAGATTAGACCTACACAGATAAGCTAGTCATTTTAAGTTTGTAACATTTAAATGATTCTGAATGTTATATTTTAGCATCCTGTTGCACTGATTTATGTCCATGATTTATTCTAACCATCTTACAGTGCATACATTTATTCACCTTACTCTTCTCTCTTGCACTACATGTTTCAGCACAAAAGTGCCATCTTCAGGTGCTTTTCGATGTACGTCAAACTCCTTCATCGCATGCCCTGTTGTCTTTATACTAAAATATATACTCGTCATATATATTGATAAATTTCAAATATTAAAAATATTAAAACTGTTCAGGATTTGTCATCCTTATGTCGTATCTCAATACGCGAGTCACACCTATCTTCCTCTATCGAAGCATTCTTCCTACGTCTTGTTCCTGTGACTGCATGTGTTATACTGCTGGGCCTGCTAGGTATGTGTGTGTGTGCTGTCTTCGTTTTGATTGAGTTAT